CAGACAGTGGATATGCCCAGGTATCAACTGTGGGGCACAGGGCTCGGGGAAGCGGGCCGGCAATGCCCATGGTAGAGGTACGGGTGGAAGGGACCTTTGTCAGGTTAAAGATGGGCACTACATTTGCCTTTTTCCAATCATCCGGGATCTCTCCCGATCTTCACGAGTTTTCAAAGATAATGGCCAAAGGCCCTGCAATGACATTTGCCAACTCCCTCAGTACCCTCGGATGCATTAAATCCAAGCCCATGGATTTGTGTATGTTTAGTTTTTCTAAATAGTTCCTAACTTGTTCTTTCCCCACCAAGGGCTGTCCACCTCCTTCCTATACTGCATTGCCTAGTGAATTTGTCTGGGAGCTGACCTTGTCTGTGAAGACAGAGGCAAAGAAAGCATTCAGTACTTCAGCTTTTCCCACATCATATGTCACTAGGTTACCTCCCTCATCCAGTAAGTGCCCCACACCCTCTCTGATCACCCTCTTATTGCTAACATATTTGCTTTTCTTGCTGTGCATTGGGATGGTTTCTTCCTGTGGTAGTGCTGCTCTCCTAGGGTAGAACAGTGGCGTAGAGATGTATTAACTCATAGCTGATTAAAGGTCTAGCGAACATGACATGTGAAGGAAGGCTGAAAGAACTGGGTTTGTTTAGTTTAGAAAAGAGAAGATTGAGGGGGGACACGATAGCAGTTTTCAGGAATCTAAAACGGTGTCATAGTGAGGAGGGAGAAAACTTTTTCATCTTGGCCTATGAGGATAGAACAAGAAGAAATGGGCGGTTTAGGTTGGACATTAGGAAAAAGTTCCTAACTGTCAGGGTAGTCAAACACTGGAATAAATTGCCTAGGGAGGTTGTGGAATCTCCATCTCTGGAGATATTTAAGAGTAGGTTAGATAAATGTCTATCAGGGATGGTCTAGACCCGTGGTTACCAACAGGTCAATCACAATCGACTGGTCGATCGCAAGGCCTTGACCAGTCAATCACAAGGCATCCTGTCCGCCCCACCCCCATTTCCCTTCCACCCCCGAGAAGCCCCACTATCTACCTCAAGTGAAAATAGAGGTAGTGTAGGCTTCCCGGGGATGGACAGAAGTCTTGAAGCTTAGCGCCACTTCGGCAATTCTGGAAGTAGTGCTAGCTGCTCTGCCGGGTGTACTGTGGGAGGGAGCATTGGCTCCCTGCACCGCACAGGAGGGGTGAGTCAGCCCCGGGGGAGGAATGCGCGCGGGACAGTTGGCCCTGTGGCAGGTGCGCGCGGGGTTTCCCTGCGTCGGGGGGGTTGGCCCCGGGGCAGGCATGCACGG